GTAGGTTGTAAGTCCCCTCTATGGGCATCATTTTAGTGATCACATCAGTCATGCCTCTATACCTCTGGCAGAGTATATTGGGCCCTCTTGATGGGGCGTATAGATCGGACTCCACATTTAGCTCATGTGGTTTTATGTCGGTTATTAGTAGCTCCCACAGTTCAGTCAGACTCTATTGCATTGACCATGTTATCAGTTACAGTCAGATTTGAGCATCAACATGTTATAAACTTGATCATTGCATTCAGTTATTTCATGTCCAGTATTCTCAGTTTAGTATCATGCTTATCTCTTATCATTTCTCAGATATATGCTTTGGTTCAGTTATGATTATTGTTTAGCTCTATTCTCTATTCTATCCTGCATGCTCAGTACCTTTCAAGTACTGATGCATACTCTACGCTACATCTTATCGTAATGTAGGTTCAGGTTCTTAGCTTCCAGATCACGCATAAATTGGTTCCTGATCTTCAGTTCAACAATATCAGTTGTGAGTCCCCATTATTCGAGGATGAGTGACATGATTATCCTCCTTTGCTTTTAGTTTTAGTTTCAATTTTGCTAGATTTAGATGGGGCATGTCCTAACACTTCTAGTCAGTTAGAGGCTACTTTCAGACATAGTTAGATTCAGTTTTAGTACTTGAGTTTGTTTCAGTATCTTAAACTCATCTCAACTATATATATATATATATATATATATATATTCAGACTTAGTAAGGGTATTTCACATCATTGCAGTTTATCTTATAATATAGCTTCCGCATAGTATTTCCTAACTTTAGTTTATTTAGTATGCTTATGATATGCCAGCAGGTTTAGCTTGGGTCACTCGTGATCCTAGGTCCCGTATTCGCGTCCTGGGGGTAGCTTCAGGGCATGACAAACTTGGTACCAGAGTATTAGGTTTAAGTTTCCTAGGATGTCTGAAAAGCCGCACTAAGTAGAGTCTTTTTCACGGGTGTGAAGTGCACCACATCTAATGAGAGAGAGGCTACGAAGTGTTTTAGGAAAACCTCACATTTTTTATATTCTTATCATGCGTGGGTATGATCTACCTTCTAATCCGATGTTATGCGCTTAAGATCATGCCTCCTCATAGAGCTTACCGAAGGAATGTGAATGTACGAAATGCTAATGCAGCTCCTCCAGTCCCAGATCAGGAAGTTTCGAATGCTGAATTTCAGAATGCTATCCAACTGTTGGTTCAGAGTGTGACTCAACAGAACAATCAACAGGTTCTAGTTCCGAAAAATGCTAATGTTGGATCAGTT